GTGTGTGTGTGTGTGTGTGTGTGTGTTGTGTGTGACAAAGAGAGAGAGAGACACCCTGAGACGTGAAGTTGGACCAGTGAGGGCCAACTTCAGCCCTGCCCTTCCTCCTGCAGAGAGGAGCCCCCCACTTCTCCCCCTCCCCAGAGCCAGCTCCTGCTGGCTTGCTCGTCACTGCAGATTCCGGTGACTCATCTCCCTGCACCAAGGCTCAGCAGTGGCATGGCAGAGAGGGGGCAGGCAGGAATGGGGTGAGGGTGAGGGGGGGTGGCAGGCAGAAGTCCGGGAGAACCAGCAGAGAAGATCAGTGGGGCATCCTGTCCCCTAGGAACCCCAGCCCCTTCTTACTCCTAAGAAGCAGAGACTGTTAAGCAGGTGTGCGTGTGAAAAAGAAAAAAAAAAGAGAGAGAGAGAGAAGCCCAGGAGGAAAAGTGCTGCCCATCACGTGTCTCCCCTTCTTCAATGTCTCTTCGAGCAGTCCTTGACGCCAGCAGAAGCGGTGGGGCAAATGTGGTTTGGCTGGGGCAAGGGTCTGGGGAGAAGGACGGAGCCTGGCACAGCAAGGGGGTAACTGGCACAGGTGGGCTGTCTGCCACCCCGACCTCCCATGCTACAAGGTCTGGGCTGGAGGGCAGGAGGGACAGCTGGGTGGGAGGTGGGCGCCACAGAGAGTGGGCAGCTGTCACCAGCGGGCAGGGTGTCCAGGAGGAGGGGGCCTGTGTCACGGTGCTCCTGTTCCTCCCTAGCCCCGGCCCACCCCTACCTCCTGCAGCAGGTCCGCCTGCTCGATCGCCTTCAGCACACTCTTCTTGGAGGTGTCCTGGACATCACCCCCCATCAGAAACTCGTCCAAGATGAAGTAGGCCTTCTCAAAGTTGAAGATGATGTCCAGCTCGCACACCTGGGGATGAGGGGACAGGGCCGAGCCGAGTGACCAGGCGATGCTGCCGTCCCTTCCTCTCTCACAACTGCCCACTGCTTTGCTTAAGACCTCCTGCTTCTGGCCCTGTCGCCTTGCCCGGGAACCTAGTCCTCTCAACTCCTTAACAGCCAGCCCTGTGGCTCTTTCGCCCTCCAGCGCCTCTTTCTCCACGGCCCTGAACTTTCAGTTGCCCTCGTCCGCTCTGGTCTGTGCTCAAAACCTCCAACCCTGGTCACCCCAGTGGCTGGGTTGGCAGAGAAAGAAGGGATCTGGGGTCATTCCATGCACAAGCCAGCGCTACCTCTGGACCTCGGCTTTCTCACCCCACGGTCGAGGTAATCACACCTACTCACAGGATGCAGACAGGAGCGAACAGGGAAACAGGAGTACAACACTCCTGGCCACCGAGTTGAGGCTGACTCACAGCAACCCTAGGGACGAGGTAGAACTGCCCAGGTAGTTTTCCTGACTGGATACGCTTTAGGGGAGAAGAAAGCCTCATCTCCCCACCCCGACCCCCGCTGCCCCCACCCCACTCCACCCCGCTAGAGAGAACTGGCAATTGTTCTGTGGAAGAGGCAGATGGGTGGAGTTGTTGCTCTTCCCTATCTATGATGTGAGCTGTCTGCCCGGCCAGACTACCTGTTGTTGTTTTTGTCCTTAGGGGCCGGCCAGTCCGACTCAGAGAGACACTATGTCCAAGGAACAAAAGACACACTCACAGCCAGGTCCTGCTGGCCAGCCGAGCCCCCTGTCCTATGTGGGGACCACTGTGGCAGCCACGGTGTCCCGCGATCTCCTGGGGGCCTTCCTCGGAGACACCGACCCTCGACTTCAGCATGCATGAAGTCCTTCTCCAGGGGGCTGGGCCCTCCTGACCACAGCTCCTCCCCCCACTAGATCTGCTCATTCAGAGTCTCGGAGCGGAGTGGGAGCCGGCATTGACATTTTTAGAGCTCTCCAGAAGACTCCCACATGAAGCCGAGCCCGGGAACCACTGATAACAGACGTGCACAGGGCCTCTGTCCTTGAGTGAGAATGCTGATTAGAACTGCACATGGACACTGAGCAACAGATTCTGGTGCGAGGCCGCACCCTCCCCGCCCCTGCCCCACGCCAGGCTGATGAAGGGACCTGGCTAATAGGATTAAGGCTTAGAAAGAGAGGTTAATTATTGTGCTC